GTAAGTAAGAAGAAACATTCACTTTATTGATAGGAACTGCTATTACATTTAGCTTAAAAAGGCACTCATTTAGGTAACCTTTTCCTACATATACATTGTTCTTACTAAGTACAACACTATTAGAAACAAAAATACATTTGAATCCATTCTTGACAAGAAGTGAGGTAGACACAAGATTCTTGCGAATTTATGGAACATGGAGGACTTGGTTTAAAGTCACTATTTTTCCCGACGTCATCTTCAACGTAATCTTTCCAACTCCTTCAATTTTGGCTGTAGATGAATTTCCCATGAAGATTGTCTGGTCGGGACCTGCGGGGGCATAAGAAGAAAACAACTCCTTGTTAGCACACACATGGCGGGTGGCTCCAGAATCTATCCACCATTCTTTCAGATTTCCTACCAAGTTGCATTCAGACAACATGGCACACAAGTCTTCCATTTCATCTTCAACCATGTTGACTTGATTCTTTTTCTTCTTATCATTCTTTGGCGCACGACAATCCACTGCCTTATGCCCAGTTTTTTCACAATTGTGGCAATTACCCTTGAACTTCTTCTTGCTTGGGTAATTCTTTGGTCCAGAAGCCTTCTTCCTTTTCTTATTTTGTGGTGCCTCCTCAACAATGTTTGCCCCCACAATTGTTGAGTTTCCACGTGACTTCTTTTCAGCATTTTTGTTGTCTTCTTCTATCCTCAGACGAACAATCAAGTCTTCTAGTGTCATTTCCTTCCGCTTGTGTTTAAGATAGTTCTTAAAATCCTTCCACAACGGAGCTAATTTCTCAATGAAAGCAGCGACTTGAAAGGCCTCATTTATGATCATACCTTCAATAACAAACTCATAATTAGTAATAAGATAAATCTTATTAATAAAATTATTGACTCGGGTCATACCTTCAGCAAGGAGGTCATGCACAATGACTTGTAATTCTTGGACTTGAGTTATGACTGACCTAGTGTCAATCATCTTGAAATCCAAAAACCTTGCAGCCACGAACTTCTTAAGTCCGGCATCCTCAGTCTTGTACTTCTTCTCAAGTGCATTCCATAACGCTTTTGAAGTTTCCATGACACTATAGACATTGTACAAGCCATCTTCCAAACAACTCAATATGTAGTTTTTGCACAAGAAATCAGAATGTTTCCATGCTTCAGTTACAACAAGTCGTTCATCATCCGGAGTATTCTCAGCCATGACCGGAGGATCCTCCTTGATGAAACGTTGCAAACTCAACGTAGTAAGATAGAAGAGCATCTTCATTTGCCAGCGTTTGAAGTCAATACCGGAAAACTTTCCGGGTTTTTCTGCCGGTGCCATAGCATGAGCAGGAGTAGAACGGCTTGACGAGGCAGCAACACTCGTAACAGTAGCACCCGTTCCCGCAACACTTCCATTAGTTTGGTTTTCATTCGTCATATTTCTGTAAAGTTGAAAACAATACAGAACTTGTTAAATCAGTGAAGTTTTGATATCTTCAAACTGAATACCAAACCAAACATAGAACACGTAACAATGGTGAAGACATTATATACTTCAAATTCATAAGTTTATTATTCCGACAAAGTTTTTATGTACTTTAAACCGGACAGAAATAATTATAGGAGTAGAAAGCAACAAGGCTTTAGTCTCCAACAAAGTATATAGAAAACAGTTTAATAATCAACACAGAAACATTAGTAAACTAAAATTCCTTAAGCTTGTGAGCGTAACTGTGTTAAAACAAAAATCAGAAAACTGTTAGAAGAATAAAGAAATGTATAAAATAGTAAAGAATCAGAAATATTCCGAGTCCACAATTTTTCTTGTGCGTCCTTAAGGAATTTTAACCCCCTCACACGTTGCCAAGGTAATGGATTAAATCCTCCCAGGATAAAACGGAATAAACCTTCCTGCAACAGTGGCAATACAAACTGCAGGATACCAACGAACTCAAAGAACGGAGCAAAATCACACTTACGAATTTGAGAGAGAGAGACTGCGAATTAGGATGCAGTATATTCAGAAAGAAAGAAGTTCTGGAGTGTTTTTCGTGTCTAGAAGATGCAGCCTTGTCTCAGAATTTATAGGCAAATATCAGAAGAGGTGTCTGGAAAGGTGCCTTTTCAGAAAATACGCGGCCTGCCGCGGTTCTACCGCGATCGCGGCAGAACCGCGGCCAGAGAGGCTCTCTGAATCTGACTGTCGCGATTCTACCGCGGTCGCGGCAGAACCGCGGCCAGCGAGGCCCTCTGAACTTTCAGCAGGGTTCTGGCGTAGTTTCAGCAGTGATTTGGCATTTAATTAATTATTAAATAATTAAATAAATTTTGTCCAAAAAATAATCTTATCGATCATTTGACAAATCCGAAGCCGAAGCCGAAGCCGAAGCCGAGCCGAGCGAGTGACGACGACGCGTGAGTTCATTCTTTTCAACTCCTTTTAAGAGCTTTAAGAAGTGAATCTATATATAAGCACACAAATGTGATTGTCCCTCACCATTGAGGGACAAAGTGCAAGACAAAAGTTCACTTTTTCAAATTTTCATTTTTCCTCCATTTCCAATTCACACTTCTTCTACTTTAAAGCCCAATGGCTTAAAGTCCAACAGATTATTCCTTTTAAGTGTTTGGTTTTTTTGGGGAAATTCATTTCATGTGCGTTTGTCTGAGTAAAAAGTGACGCTAATTGTTAACAAAAATTGTAATAGAGACTAATACATGGGAAAATAAAGCTGTTGAACTAATCTCTTGATGCCTTTTTCTTTGAGTTACGCAATATTAATTTTGTGAAATTATTTCTTTTTAAATTCTTATTTATTTTAAATAAATACCCTTTTAAAAAAATTATATTTCATAGCTACCTTTTGATTTTTTATAGCCAAATATTTATTTATGATCACCTCCTACCCTTAAGCCATAAAATAAGCTTTGTATTATTTTTCTCTCTCATATCCCCTCTAATTTCTCCTATCCCTTAACCCATATCTATTCTCCCTCTCTCTCTCTACTTACCCTACCAGCCCTCCGAACGCCTCCACGCTTCTCTCTATCCCTCCGTCCCTCTCATAACCAATTGGATCAAATCGCCTCCGACCTGATTGCAAGTCGTCTACACGTGCCGGTTCGGCGAGGAGAAAGAGAGCGAATTTGTGCTTGGGAATACTGAATTTAAGGACTTCGCGGTGGAGGTATTTGCAGACGCTGTCGTTTTGGGGGCTGGGAAAGAGCTGTTGAAGCGGGTTCCGTTGGGGGCTTTTGGGATTATTGGTGTTGGTGCGGTGGTGAAGCTCGGAAAAGAATTGGTTGCCGCGGCAATTGGTGCTTACGCGCTTGGTGTTGCCACTACGGTATAAGTAAGCTTAGGGTTGTTCTTGAACAAAGACGACAGAGTTGGGGGCTGAGCAACTTGAATTTTCTGTTAATATATTTCAATGTATTTCAATGTATCTCGTTGTATTTCATTGTATTCATTGACTTTTTTTCATTGTATTTCAATGTATCTTGTTGTATTCTATGTATTTCATTGTATTCATTGTCTTTTTTTTCATTGTATTTCAATGTATCCCGCTGTATTCTATGTATTTCATTGTATTCACTGTCTCGCTATATTCCATGAATGTATTCATACATTTTTTTTAATTAATATAATTTATGTATTTAGATGTATAGTATAATATAATTTCTCTGAAGATTGCTATGTTTTTGGGGTGTTTTTCGGTTGAGAATTTTTTTATAATTTGAAATACAAAATTTGTGTGTTATAATTGAGTTTGTTGAGTTATATTAGGAGTCTATTATGTTAATTGATTCACTTTCCGTTTAAAAACAGTGTAATCCCCTGTTTCACGCCGTGAATATAGTCGAATACAAATACCTGTCTAGCTGTAATCCCTTGTTTCATGCCTGGAAATGCTACTGTATTCATGAATATAGTAGCTTAAATACATCGAATACACTCTAAAAAATCTAAAAACATAGTTATAGGAAGTAATATAGTAAATGGTAGCTACAACTAGCTAATAACCACTAAAACATAGTGGCTTATGAAAGTTTCTCTTCTTCTTTCCCTATCGGGCTTCCCATAACCCAAAAGGTAAAAGAAAAAGAGAGAGAAAAAAACACGCACACAAAAATTAAAAAAATCAATCTGGTGCATAAGAAATTTAGAGCCCGTTTGGACATAAAAAAAATCAATTTTTTTCGAAATTTTTTTACTTTTTTTCGAAATTAGTGTTTGGCCATAAAATTTTTAATTTTCATTTGGAGATAAGTTTTGGAATTTTTCGAAAATTTGAAAAACTTTAAAAAGCTATTTTTCAAAATTTTCGCTCAAATCACTCACAAAACCTCAAAAACAACCCAAAATAATATTCCTGTCCAAACACAACTCTAATTTTCAGATACTATTTTCACTTGAAAAAAAAATTCACTTTATTTTTGGACTTTTACAATTCTTATGTTCAAATGCCCACTAAGTGTTCACGCATTCTAGTGAAGGGTTGTACCCCAAGACGAGGGTATGATGTAGACAACCTATACAAGCAGTAGTGGCTGCTTCCACGGCTCGCACCTGTAACTTATAGGTCACACGAAAACAAACTTTATCGTTGTTCCAAAGCTCCCCTTTCAATTAATATATAAATGAGTTGATTTTTGTTGACTCCGTCAATCAAATGGATTAGTAAGGAGAATGTACTGATCTCCTTCATCCTTAACCAGAGTCTAGAGTTTGAGACTGGTATGGAATTCTCTTAGTTAGAGAGCGCTTTACTCCCAAAGTAAGATTTCCGACGAAAATCCTTATTGGTCGAGCCATCAATACCAATACCAAACATCATACTAGAAACCAAAAAAATAAAAAAATAAAGTATTATCATAAAGAGCCGTCATTATCACTTTTAACGTGAAGATAACCAATGCTACAAACTATCCTTTTCTAATTTAAAAATTGAATGAACCAAGTGATTAAGCACAACAAGTACTCAAAATAGATTCATTTGCGTGCCTAAAATTTTCTGCTTTTATCTTATTTGGGAATAAAGTGTCTCAAACTTTATATGGATTGAGAAAGAAACTCATGGCAACTAATTTTGTACCAAATGTAGGTAGTTTAATGAGAATTTTACGTACCAAATTAGTAATTCAATGTCTTAATCAATATATTTATTGCTTTCTCTAGCGGGTAATTTTATCGTTAGCTTTATATCGTACACTGGATTTGGAAATTGGAACATTCATTTAGGGTTTATTTATATATTGTTTGTTTTTATTTAATGTTTAGGGTTTAGGATTTAGGGTTTAGGGTAAAGTTGTCTTTGTGTAACCTAAAGGTCACGAGCAGAGGCGGAACTAGAATTTGAAGTTTGTGAGTTCTGAACTTGACACCGAACTCATATCATGTTTTAGTTACTGGATTCGCGATTATATATTAATACAAATTTAATAGATTTTTCAAATATAAATATAGGGTCTACGCGAAAGTTATTGGGTTCGACCGAACCCGTAAAAAGTACCCTACATCCGTCCCTGGTTACGGGTTCGAGCCGTGAAAAAAGCCACTAATGCTTGCATCGGGATAGGATATCTACATCATACCCTTTTGTGGGGCGTGACTCTTCCTCGGACCTTACGTAAACACGGATTATCTTGTACACCGAATTGCCCTTTTATTTAGTATTTTTCTGCTAGTATTTATGTATGAGTTGTTTGTTTGACAGAAATGTTTTTCTTTATTTGGTTCTCAGCATAAAATGAATATAATTCAAAAGTATTATTAGATATAAGTAGTAAATATTAAATAGTACCTAGACTCCTGAACCAAACCATCATCCATATTTATCTTATCTGTTAATGTTGCACTCCTACTCCTATAGCACTTTTGATTAAAATAAAGAAATTAATTAATTAGTGTGCATTTAGTAAGCGCACAACAATAATAATTATCAAATATTATTAGTGTGTATCCTTAGTGAGCGCACAACAATCATATAATATAAATGTAACCATACAAAAGCATAAGGAAACTTTATGTTAGTAGCTTTCCAATCCCTAAACTCAATTTTACTAATTATTTCTTTAAGCATTTCCTGTATTGTGCCAATAGATTCCAACATTATCCCACACACTCGAACTAGCTAGGCTGTTTTCTTAACTATCTATTACCTAATACAAATTAAAATATAATAACTATTAAGAAGAGTAGATTTGGAGCCAGTGGCGTATCTAGGGTAGAAGCTATGTATTTAACTGAACACATAATTTTAACTCATACTTTGTATTTTTACCTACAAAATTATTAAATGTGTGCAAATAATAAATTTTGAACCAATTAAATTAGATGAGATGATGGTAATCCATATGGATGGCCTGGGATCGAATCCCCCTCAATGCCTTCTGGGTAAAGCCTGTCGCACAGGGCTTGCCTAGTGCGGTTTACAT